AAGCTTGACTACTTGCCAGATGTGATCTATTGATTTGTTACTTTGATCAGGATATAGGATGCTGTTTATATTATTAAAAATTCGAGCTGTATGGTTTTCTGCTTCGATGCATTCGAAAACATGTCTGATGTCTTCAAACTGGTTCATTTTTCATTACTACAATTTTGTGAATTTTATGAATGCTTGAACTGAATATGGGGTCTGTGGCTCTTTTCTGATTTTCCATACCTCCTTTCCACTCTCCATTGGCTAACAAATAACGGACTGTATCACCCTTCTTCAACCTATTCCCCTCATATTTCCCAACCGGACACTTATACTTTGTAGATGGCCTAGATTCTACTCATTCCAGTTTGATAGCTTTTGCTGGAGCTAATCCCCATTTTGATAAACCTGGAGCTCTAATGAGACGCATTGGATAATTATTTAGGTAATCGATGACTTCTGGCAAATATTTTACTCATGCTCTTATTGATCTAGGGTTCGAGGTTAAACTTTCAACAGTATACTGGATTTTATAAAGCATCTCTGCTAATGTCTTATTGAATTATTCCACAAGAGCTAATCCTCTGTGGCTATATGCACCAATTACTCAAATTGTGACATTATGCGTTTCCATTAATCGAGCAGTTTCACCCATGAATTCTTTACCACCATCACATTGTAGAAGTGTTGGGTATGTAAGAGGGTTATTGGGATTATTATAAATTTTCTTAAAGGTCTTAGCAACTTTGAAACTTTTCTTCGATGTAAGAGGAACACTCGCTTTGAATCTGCTAAACATATCTATAATCTGTAATACTGCTTTCCATGTCTTCCCCTTATATTTATCATGTGTAAGGAAAAGAATATTGCACTGGTGTACACATCCAGGACGTGAGATTTTTCCATAACTTACCTGTGTAGTATTTTTCGGTAACAGAGCATACTTTTGCCATTCATTCTGCCTATGCAACCATTCACGAATTTTCTTATATAGAAATTATATCCTTCTTTTTTACATGCATTTCTTAAAGCCTTTGCATTGAAATGATAGCCAGTAGGTCGGTAAAAAAGCAGTTTATATATTAAGTTTAACTCCTCGTCTGGATTGATTCTAATAATAGGTTTGCTCAATTTACTCATTTTCGATATATTTTACTATAGCAATAAACTATGTTTCAGCAAAGCCAAGAGATATATCAATATAATATGCTGTAAAAAAATAGAAACAGAATCTCATTACTTTGTAATAATTATGACATTTCAAAGACCCCGACCCCCCAATTAAACAATTTATAGATCAGCTACAGATAAAGAACTCAAGCTAAAACAAATTAATCAGATTTTGAGAGATGAATTATCCATCAAAATTTCTCATAATAAAGACAACGAAAAATGAATATCTCAGCTAGAACATGATCTTATTAATTGCGAGAAAGAGATCTCTCGAAAAGATATTGCTCTTGTAGCATCTAATGAAAAAATTAAAGAGCTACAGACTGAAATTTCATTTCTGAAAAAAGATCTTTATCAAACCTGAAAAGAGATTTGAGACAATAACAATTATACTGCTGACATAGAAAACAAGTTACAAGAATGTTATGAGATTATATACAGTTTGAAACAAAGAATCTAAGTTATCTCATCTCATGGAAATTCACCAGTTCGAAATAATTCACCTGATATATATTCACCCCCAGAAGATACAGATATGGCAAATCTTAACCTTTTTATACAAATCGATCGAGGCTTGAATCATATTGAAAATCATATTCGAGGTGCCGAAACACCATTAAATAATCCTATAAATATTATAAATAGCATTAGAGGCTCCTTAAATGCTGTTAGTCTTAATTATCAGTCTGTGTACTAGGATATAGATGGTGTTATTGCTTAACGAGATGACAAAGATAATTAGATAGTTCAGTTACAACAGAATGTTAATTTCTATAGACAACGGAATATCGCTTTGCAAAATCAAGTTAATCAGCTTAACCAAAACAATTTTTAGAACCAAGTTAATCAGATTATCCAAGAATGAGATAACTTATAGAACCAAGTTAATCAAATTATCCAAGAGTGATATAACTTACGAAATCAAGTTAACTGATTTACTCAAGAGTGTAACAATTATCAGAATGATCTTACTTTGATGACTATAGCTTATAATAATGAACAGGGAGAACGTCATCGCTGGTAGTTCTCATATTGTGATAAAAATAAACGTGTTAGTGAATTAATTCGAAAAAAGTTCGCTATCCAATTATTATTACAGCGATGCCATACCAATAATAGGAATTTACAACAAAGGTATGATATGCGAGGGTGTTTGTAATATAATATTACCTTGGCATTAAAAGAACAATCTAAACTTGGGCATGTTTTTAAAGTTCTGTATAGATTAAAAAACTATCAATTAGAATAAGAATTGTAAAGATATCAGGCCGATAAAGGATTATTAGAATATAATTGAGATCAGCTCTTTGATAGATATTACAATAAATTCAAGGATCGTAAAGCAAGTCATATCAAGTAGAAAAATAGAGAGCGCAATTTACAGCAATTAATTTTAAATTTACAAGCCCAAATTTTATTACTATAGAATAATCCACCTATAAATCCATCTCAAATACAAATATCGAATATGATAGGAAATGGATCACCTCTTTTTACTGGAAAAGCTGGAGAATATCCATCAGATTGGGTCTTAGAATTCAAGAGATTTGTAATTGCATCTAGAATAAATGTTATAGTTGGTGCAGGAGGAGTTGCTGGTAGAGCAGAAGCATATAATTTAGCTATATCATGTATGGTTGGTGAAGCAAAAACCTGGTTCGAGAATGAAATCAAAAGTAGAAATTGGCAATGTGATAATATTCTTGATAGTACTGGTGTGTATATATGTTACTGAAATTTGTAAATCCTTGACGCAATTGACACAATTATTTGACACAATTAATTGAGTCCCTATTAAAACATATAAATAATTGAGTCATGACGCAATTATTTTTGAGAATTTTGGAAATTGAGTCAACAGCCAAATAATTTATGCCACATGTATACTGGCATGAACACCTTAAATGCAATTCGATTATTAAATAATGAAGGCTTAATAAGTATTAATGCAAATCAGTTTCTTGGAGAAGCATTAGTTGTAAGAAATAATGCTGGAGGTGATAATACAATAACCGGTGCTAATATTATTCCAGTGGGTACATGGGATAAAGATTGGAGTATAGCTAGAGGGCATCCCGCACCTATAGAAATTCCATCTCCAGCCAATTATACAAATGCTGGTGCAGGTAATTCAATTGTTGCATCTGAAATGACTCTTGGGCAATTTTTATACTGCCTTGAAAATCTTTATCCCATGATTGAAGCACAAAAAAATTTGCTTTTCTTCAGTCAGATTGTGCAAGGAGGTATGTCAATACTCAAGTATAATGCCAAGATATCAAAACTCAGAAAACTTGCTGGATTACCAGAATCAAAAATGAGAGAGCAATATATTCGGGAATTAAATCCTATGAATCAATACAAAGTTCGAATGATGGCTAAATACCATGATACTAGAGATAATATTATAAAAGCATTAGTTGAAGCAGAAAAATTTTCACTACTACAAGGCAATTTTCCATTTCCACCTTCTGGAGGTCAAATGTCTAATCCCTATGAAAAAAGTAGCAATACAGGTATAATCAAAGATGAAATAGAAAACTTCGTAAAATCTATCATGACATCCACACAAGCTCAATTGGTCTCACAAACTACCTCTTCTAAACCTCAGGAGAACCAAATTACACTTTCACAAGACAATTTCAAAAAAATTATAGTGGGTTTGAAAGGAACTATTGCTAAAGGACATCAAACTTTAAAGAAACCCCCTGGACCAAGGAAACGAAAAGCTAATAATCTTGCTATAAACCATTTTTTAGATAGTTTTATTGATGACACAGATTTACCAGAAGAAGCTTATGACTATGATTCCATTGAAGATTTGAGAAAACAATTTGAGGATTTGGATATCAATTAAGCAAAACTAGCTTGAATAATACATGCAGTTTTAAAATCTTCTCGCAAATGCTCAAAGTGTGGCAAACCAGGCCATAATTCCCGCAACTGTAAAAATAAAAGAAAGAACAAGTCTAGGTGTTTTAATAAGAACAAATCCAAGAAAGGTAAGGTTAATCTTGCTATCAAAGATTCAGATTCCGAGTCTGATTCTAAATCTTCTGATAATGAATCCAATTCTAGCTCTGACTCTGGGTCTGGTCCCGAAACAGAATCTGATTCTGAGAATGACTTAACTGAGACTGAAATCGCGAAAATTATCAATGTTGTTAAATCAAAAAAAAAGTAAAGCCAAAGAGTAAATTGTCCTCTAAAAAGAAGTTTACTTCAAAGAAAAAGCAGTCTTGAATCTTTGATTCAAGTACTTCACAAAAAAAATCAGGTACAATTATTGATTCACAGATTCAAAAAATTATTCTAGCTATGTTTAACGATCCAGAGGTTATAAAAATAATTTGAAACAATATTAATAACACAAATGTATCTATGACTCGAAGAGTCGCCCCTAAAGAGCCTGCAAAACCTGACTATAAATTATTGAGAGCTGGCTCCAGAAATACCAGATTCAGATGGGGATGATGAAATGCTAGACGATCTTATGGAGATAGATTTCGTCCGTCAGAAAGAACTGGTAATTAGTATTGCAACTATACCAGTTAAAATCAAATGCTTAAAAATTCCGGCATTGGTACTAGATAGTGGTGCTGAACCTGCAATCATATCAGAAGATATTGTTAAATGTGTAGGCGGAAAAATAGATATGTCAAAAAAATATAATCTTAGTAGTGTTGCTACTGTGCCAACAGAATCTGTTGGTATTACTTGTAATTTACCAATAACATTTTCTCCAGGTTTTACTATACGTGAAGATTTTGTAGTTGTACGAGTTCCTAACCAACATTAATATTTCCAAATCCACTTCTCAAAAAATATAAATGTGCTATAGACTGGGGTAACGATAAAATGAAGATTCATTATAACAGAGAAGATTTTGTTATTCCGGTTACAATATACAAAGTCAAGAACAAGCTCGAAGTAAACTGTACTACTATATCTCAGATTGATAGGTTTTTGGTATCTGATTAACTTTCTCAAAAAGTGGATAGTAATGAGAATGATAATGTACCATTCAAAAAATGGCATACTCCTGTGGGTTTTAGCTTAGATTCTGATGATCCATCATTAAAAAAAAATGCATGAGCTATGAGGAGTTAGAAAAAACACTATATGAGGTATTTAAATTCAAGATTAAATTAATAGAACTCAATAAAAAATTATGAATTCATAGAGATGAACCTGAAGACTCAAATGGAAAGATTACCAATATAGTGGAAATAAAAATAGATTAGTTAGGATTTAAAAATCTTTCTGATTCATGTTCATATTCTTCTGTTTCTTTGCGATCCTGCTTAATCAAAGCATATAGGTCATCTTTTCTTTCCACTTTTTTTGTCAGGGTATTGGGTGTATCGGCCCCACTGATAATATATGTCTTAGCACTAGCTTCACTATTAGATGAATCAGAAATTCGAATCGATTTAGATTTCAGTTTTCTTTTTGTAACCTGTTTGTTCGAAATATTAATTTGGTTAGAATTCTCAGTTATACTAGTTTCTTCAGTAAAGCTGGTATGGTCAATACTTGGTAAGCATGATTCGGAGGGTAATTCTAATATAGGTAAATCCTGACTTGGGGGTGTTATTGATTCTGATATAGGCTGATACCATTCTATCATACTAACTTCTTGTTCTCTCCAAATTTTATAAAAACAGTTATTTGTCATGAGGTATTTTTCTCTCAACTTCTTTAAAACATCAGTTTTGAGTTTTACATCACGATATTGCATAATAAATTTATAATCTTCTGGTAATAATAGAATTGCATCAGATTGCATACGTTTAGCTATATTATTTTTATAATATCTGTAATATCTGTAATATCAATAATTTATTGAGGAAAAAAATATTATATTATATGCATAATATGTATAGTATCGATAATTAGTATGCGTAGTATACATAGTGTGTATAGTATTGATAATTTAGTATGCATCGTACACATAATATGCATAGTATGCATAATGCATATAGTATATATAATATGAATATTTAGTATCGAGATTCATCCATATTTTTTTATTATATTATTTTTTATTTGATATAACATATGTGAAAGATCTTAAGGAAGAAATACATCATATCCTCCAATCCTCTTCTAAATTGCATAACTATAACAGTGAGTTACGAAATAAATTCATAAAGCAAGAGAAAAATTTTGATCATGAATGAAGAAGTTGGGAACAGGAAAGAAAAAAATAAAGTCAGAAACTAGGTGGGTCCAATACTATGATTCAGAAATTACGTACTTATGATCTCGAACTTATTGATGAAGCTAGACATTTATAGATTGAAAATGCTAATAAAGACATTTCTCTTGCAAAGTCCAAAGCTGAGAATGATATAAAATCTAAGAAAATTAGATCACTTGAGTCTATGATCAAGATATTGGAAGGTAAGTTATCTTCAGCCCAGAAAGATGTGATTTTGATTCAAAACGACTCATCGAAAAAAGAAACTGAGATCATATCTCTCAAGTCTAAAATAGTTGAAGTAGAATATGAGTTAGCTTCGAAAGTCAGTGAATTTGAGTATCTGAAATCGAAGGCTATATCAAACCCCATACTTGGTGGAGATGACAAAAAAAATATGACCAAGTCTAGTAATATATCTGTGGATAGGGAACCTAGCTACCTTGTGACTACTTCTGGCAATAAAAATTTAAATAAATATTTTATACGCAGAGGTTCGAAGAACTATTGCTTTGCAATAAAAAATATGGATCAAATCGAAAAAACTGATGGTAATATATCAATATATACTAATGATGAGATTACCGAACTATCAAAAAATAATACCAAGATTAGTCCTAAGATAAGTGAGGAAACTAGCATTAGCAAAATTAGTGGAGATATTATATCCCAATCTCAAGAAATAAAAAATGTAAACCCACACCTTACACAGCTGGAAAATTATATCCCTTCTTTGATTGAATCGAATTCTCAGATAAGACCTAGTCTCAAGGCTTTGCCTCTTCCTGCTGTGGCAAGCACTTTGATGTCACCTCTATTGGCATATATTTTTCTTATTCTATTAATTATTGCGGTAATGTGGTTTGTGAGACGTACATGGAATATAGGTAGGCTTAAAAAGCCATTGCTTCGCAGGCCCGAAGAGGTGACTCTAAAGGGCCATAAAAAAAGTGATAGACTATGGAATACATGGATTAGATAACCAAGACTATTTATTTGAACTTCATCACTCGATTTTGGATATTTATATAAAATAACTATTAGTTTTTTTCGAACTTGAGAGAAAAAAAAAAAAAGAGCATAGGAGCATGAGTGAGACTGACTTCTTAGAACATAAACAAAATTTCGAGGCTAAGATGAGTATACCTACTACTTCGCACAAAAAAAAATTGAAAAATAAATTTTTAGCAATTATTGAATATGCGTAATTGTTATAAATGTTTCAGTGAAGCAAGTAAAGGTGCCAAAACATTATCATTTAGTTAAGTAGTAATTTCTGGAAAAGAGAGATTGCTACATTTAGCTAGTTATATATCTGGGTAAAGGGATTTTTGTTATCTTTTACAATAAGTATAAGAAAAAATTCAAATAAAAAATTAATGCTTTGATACCTACACCATATAAAGGGGTTTTTGTGTCATGTAATTTTGAGCAAGAGTTTGTTCATTGAAATTTCAGGTAAGTTTTAGATACTTTGCATCTATATATGGTATGTATTCGATAACCATTTTTGTGTCACATAATTTTTATTAAACTCAAACTTTATATATCATCAAACGGATATTGAAAAAGTGATGTGCAATAGTAGGCTTGAAAAGTCACTGCTTCGCAATAGAAAAAAATTGAGCTTTTATGTATTATTAGGTAGATATTAGCGGAGCCAGCATAAAGTGCTAAAAAGGTGATACACAAAGGTTATCAAAAAGTGATATACAAAGGTTACAAAAATTGTGCTTTATGTATCATTAGGTAAATATCAAAAAGTGATATGTAAAAGTTATCAAAATATAATACACATGTGATATATAGTAGTGCGATCCAATTTTTTGACAATTTTGGTGATACGTAAAGGTAGAATATTATAAGGAAAGAGGTAGAAAAATTGTGCTTTTACATATCACTAAAAAAAAAGGGTCAAATAACAGAATTCAGATATAAAATAAAAGTGATATGCAAAAGCAGAATATTATAAGGAAAGAAATAAGATAAATTTTTGCTTTTACGTATCACCAAATAATTTGCTAACAATTTGACACTACGTGTCTCATCTTTGATCGATACTCGAGTACATATAATAGTTAGCAATTCGGCACTATGTGCTTCATCCGTAATCGATATTCGAATGAATTATATGAAGCTAACAACTGCTAACAATTTGGTACTACATGCCTCGTCATTGGATGCTTTGGTGTATTATCAGATATGTTAACAATTCGACACTACGTGCCTTATTATCGGACAATTAATTTTTTTATTAGATATTTTATGCAGTATATAAAATGACAACAATATAAGACCGCAAGAGTAAGCTAACTCAAACTATTGATAAAATTATAATGCAAATGATTGAAAAAGTGAAATGCAACAATAAGCCAGATCAAGCTATCAACAAACTCTTAATACAAGAGTTTGGAAAGGATTTCAAAACTTATATAGAAAAGCCAGAGCAAAATTACAATTCGGAGATTGAATCTGAGCTTTTTTTTTTTTTTTTTTTTTTTTTTTATTATAATAAGCTTTACTCTAATTTATTAATTTTTTGTTGTAAACAACAT